AGTTCTATCCCTTCTAAGGCTCTCTGACACTGAGGAAAGGGAGCTCCTTACATGCCTGGTAGGGTAGTGCCAGACCATTAGAGGGCTGGCACACCCTAGCATGGAAATGCAAACGGTGTGTGCAAATTGTATTTGGTTCTCAGGCTGGCTGAATGCTCACCCTAGTGCTCTTTTTCGACACAAGCTGCTAATCCAAGTCTGAGGCCCTGGGGATGTTCCACTTGGAAGCAGAAATTGATGGAGTCTGGTATTTTCTTTGGTGCCATCTTGTTTATTTACCAGGTGTGACACTGTATGGAATATGTGAGACATTTAATGATATTATCAATAACAATATTATAAAATTGCAAAGAATCTTTCCAGATATGCCACATAAGGTATCAGTGAAAATGTTATGTTTTGCCAAGTATGATTAGGACCCTACCAAATTCACAGCCATGAAAAACGCATCATGAACCATGAAATCTGGTCTGCCCAATGAAATCTGGTCTTTTGTGTACTTTTACCCTATACTATATAGATTTCACTGGGGAGACCAACATTTCTCAAGCTGGGAGTCCCAACCCAAAAGGGGGCCGCGAGGGGTTGCAAGGTTATTGTAAGGGGGTCATGGTATTGCCACCCTTACTTCTGTGCTGCCTTCAGAACTGGGTGGCCAGAAAGTGGCGGCTGTTGGCCAGGCACCCAGTTCTGAAGGCAGCACCACCAGTAGCAGTGCAGAAGTAAGGGTGGCAATGGGTGGCCAGAGAGTGGTGGCTGCTGGCCGAGGGCTCAGGTCTGCAGGCAGCAGCACAGAAGTAAGGGTGGCAATATCATACCATGCCATTCTTACTTCTGTGCTGCTGCTGGCAGTGGTGCTGCCTTCCGAGCTGGGCTCCTGGCCAGCAGCTGCCACTATCCGATCACCCATCTCTGAAGGCAGCACTGGTGCCAGCAGCAGCACAGAAGTCAGGGTGGCAATATCACAACCCCCTTATAATAATCTTGTGATGCCCCCACTTCCCCTTTTGGGTCAAGATCCCTCCAGTTACAACACCGTGAAATTTCAGATTTAAATATCTGAAATCATGAAATTTATGATTTTTAAAATCCTGTGACTGTGAAATTAACCAAAATGGACTGTGAATTTGGTAGGGCCCTAAGTATGATAATCTTGTTTATATGTTTGTATCATCTTTGTATTGTGAATTACAAATATGTGTGATATATCTGTATTTCAAACTTGTGCAGTGCTTCTGGGTGACATCCCCAGACAGATTGGCATCAGCATTATCCAGCCTGCTTGATGGCATATCAAAGGCAATCAGCTTTACAATTAAACCATTGAGAGAAGGCAGGGGCTACACCTTATGAGTCAGCAAGACATGTAGGGGCATGCCTGTGGATAGAGAACTCTAAGGCTTTTCCATGCCTATTGTTGTCAGACGTCACCGGTGTGGTGCTCTGCTCTGTTCAATGCTGATAACAGTCGGCTGTATGCATGTGTTCCCTCTCTGTGCTGCCCCAGCTCTGCACAGGTAGCTGACACAGCAGACCCCGAGAGAACCCCCAATGATCACAGACTCCGATAAGGTACAAAGGCACCCAGCCAGGTTTATTGTCAAACGAAGCACAGTAATAGTTTCCCGCAGACTCTACAGGACATACTACAAATTTGTGCCCCCTGACAATTGACTGGTTCAGTCAATGGTGGGACTTACCACTGCCCCCTAGGCCAGACAAAGATAGTCACTCAGGGATGCAGTCTTATACACAGGTACAAACAAATTACACATCACTCCTGATGCATTGAGGTACCCCTCTACGTGTTAAGGTGCTGCCTCTCTCCTGGTACATGTTGGTTCGAACAAACAATTCTATCCATCATATTAGCCTTTTGACCCTGCCTTTTGGATGGGTCAGCCTGTTCCTCATTATCTCTGTGGAATGTGTTCGTACCAGGATGTTCTGGTGCCATCCTGGCACATGTTCATCCTATTAGTACTTGATACCTTTTAGATATGTAAAAAACAAACAAACGAGGAGTCCTTGTGGCACCTTAGAGACTAACAAATTTATTTGGGCATAAGCTTTTGTGTGCAAGAACCTACTTCATCAGATGTATGAAGTAAAAGATACAGGAGCAGGTATAAATACATGAAAGGATGTGGGGTGCTTTACCAAGTGTTAAGTCAGCCTAACGAGATAAATCAATTAACAGCAGGATACCTTTACATTTTAATACCCGTCAGTTAGCTAGTATTTAACGATTTAATATGTACCATGTTGATTTTGTTTGTCTAGTTTCGTAATCAAAATGTCATGCAGTACCAAGTCAAATGCCTTATAGAAGTCTAATTATACACCTCTACCCTGATATAACGCGGTCCTCGGGAGCCAAAAAATCTCACCACCTTATAGGTGAGACCGCGTTATATCGGGTTCAGTCTGGTACGGCGTACTGGCAAGAGCCGGTACGCCGTGCCGGACTGGACCGGCTTCCCCGGCGGTGATTTAAAGGGCCCAGTGCTCCTGCCGCTGCGGAGAGCCCTGGGCCCTTTAAATCACCGCCGGATCTCTGGCAGTGGGGCTCGGGTGGGGATTTAAAGGGCCTGGGGCTCCCCCCAGCGGCCAGAGCCTCTGGCCCTTTAAATCACCGCCTGAGCCCAGCTGCCTAAGCCCCAGGGTGGTGATTTAAAGGGCCCGGGGCTCCACATGAATTTGGATATAACGCGGTAAAGCAGTGGGGCTCGGGTGGCGCTTTAAAGGGCCCAGGGCTCCCCGCTGCTTTACCGCGTTATATCCGAATTCGTGTTATATCGGGTCGCGTTTTATCGGGGTAGAGGTGTATTACAGCAACACTATTACCTTTATCAGCCAAACTTGTGGTCTTATAAAAAAAAATCAAGTTAGTTTGACAAGATCTAGTTTTCATAGACCCATGCTTCTTGGCATTAATTATATTAACCTCTTTTAGATTTTCATGAAGTCCTGTATCAGCCATTCCACTATTTTCTCCAGGAGTGATGTCAGATTGACAGCCTATAATTATCTGGGTCATCCCATTTACCTTTTTTAACTATTGGCACATTAGCTTTCTTCTTGTCCTTTGGAGCTTCCCCATTGTGCCAAGACTTATTAAAAATCAACATTAATGGTCCAGAGAGCTCATTGCCCAGTTCTTTTAAAATTCTTGGATGCAAATTATCTGGACTGGCTGATTTAAAAATATCTATCTTTAGTAGTTGCTGTTTAATATCCTCTTGAGCTACTGTTGGAATGAAAAGTATTTCTGCACCGTATAGGAATAATATAATTATTTATTACGTGTATTAGCATAGCACCTAACAGAGATTGACCAGGACCCCATGTGCGAGGTGCTACACAAACACAGAACAAAAAAAAGGTGGTTCCTGCCCCCAAAGAGTTTGTAAGTTAAGTAATACATCAGCTGCTTCTTCACAAATACAGAACCAAAATATTTATTGAACATTTTTGCCTATTATACATTATTGTTGGCAATCCTCATTTCCAGCTAGTAACTGACCAATACTATTGTTAAGATTAACTTTGCTCCTAATATACTAAAAATCTTCTTATTGTCTCCATGTGTCCTTTTGTTTCCATTACCAATTTTCTACAATTCCTAGCTTTTAAATTATATTAATTGCTATCAGCATCCCTCTATGTATTTATTTATTTGTTTGTTTATTTTAATAGTTGCTTTCACTTCCCCTCTAAGGCAGGTTGGCTTTTTAACCAGTATATCCTTCTTTCTTCATTGTGGGAGCATGGGTTGGCTCTGCATATTTAAAGGGCCAGCCTCAAAAAGGCACGATGGGAGGAAAAATGTTCCTGTAAGAGAGTGACCCTGCTCTGGAAAGAGTTAGCAGAAAGCAAAAAGTCACCAAGGAAGGTGTCCTATGGAAGAGGCTCCTTTGGTGCTGTGCCTGTCATCAGGGCCGGCTCCAGGCACCAGCTTACCAAGCAAGTGCTTGGGGCGGCCACTCCGGAGAGGGGCGGCACGTCCAGCTGTTCGGCGGCAATTCGGCGGACGGTCCCTCACTCCTGCTCGGAGTGAAGGACCTTCCGCCGAATTGCCGCCGCAGATCGTGATTGCGATCGCAGCTTTTTTTTGTTTTTGTTTTTTTTTGTTTGGCTGCTTGGGGCAGCCAAAACCCTGGAACCGGCCCTGCCTGTCATTACTCTCTCCCAGGGAGTGTAGGGGGATGACACTTCAGAAATGGGAGGAGTAGTGGAGGGGACAGTCTCGCCTACATGATTTCTGGGAACTGTGGGACTGATCCCACTGAAATGTAACAGAACAGGGTAAGCACCCAGAGCAGAAGCTGACCTGGGGGCTTTAGAGACCCCTGCAGCTTCTAATAAACATTGGGGAAGGAAATCAACTCAGCAAGGTCAGGCTCCACTCATAATTCTCCTGTAAGGGCTTTCTGACCAGGCTCCAGCAGAGCCCACTGGTGAAGCAAACAGCCATCTCTGCACATGTCACCTCACCAGCTCCTGAATCTGCAAATTCTAAAAGAACAGCCGGACACAAGTTTTTCCAAGACTCTTAGGAGTGAAAGATCATGTGTCATTGGAAATGCAATGTCTCCTTGATTTACAGTAAAAGCTTGCAGACTTTGGATTTACATTTATGCTTTGCAGAGTTATCTCCTTTTTTGTCTGATTGTGAGTGGTTCCTCTCCCCCACAACTTCCTCAAAAATATTTAAAAGTTTATATTGCATCCATTAATGTTTTGCAGTATCTTTCTAGCTGCTGTAACTTATTGTAGCCTGGCTTGCCTAGACACATTGTACTACCAAAAAATCCACACAGCATAGGTGCGGGAACTAAGGGTGCTGGGGGTGCTGTCACAACACCTGGCTTGATGTGGTTTCCATTATATAGTGGGTTTACAATTTGGTTCAATTCCTCTCAGCCTCTCCCCCCCTTCTCCCACACACAAATTGTTCCAGCACCCCGTCACACAGAGCTGATCCCCCCCCCTCTTTCTTTCTTTTAGTGGGAGCCCTGAGTTTGCACTAATAGGGTCTGTAGGTTATTGGTGAATAGACTGAAAATGTTAGTATTTTGTTAGCATATTGTTTGTGGTATTTGATAGACTAGGACATAGATTTCACTATATTACACGTTTCCCACTAATTCCTTTTGGTCTGAAGTTCAGTCCGAAGAGAAGGCAAATGGATCTGAAACATTTTTAACTGGCAGGCAAAGATCTTCCCCTGCTTTGCTCATTGATCTGTTTCATGAGATCACACAACACTGGCGTTCACGTATAAAACGGGACGGATCTGTTCATGTTTTTCTTTTAGCGCTGCAAAATTTTGCCAGTGCAGCCCCCGCGGGGGTCCGTGTCCGAATACGAAGGAGCCGAGATAATGAGTTCGTTTCGTTGGCCCAATGGCTGGAAAGCGCCCGGATCGCAAAGCTGTTTCAGCTCCTGCAGGCCTGTGTCCTGCACTGAGCTCTGTCGCCCAGTAAAGCGTCCGTGCACTGAACAGCTCATACCGGGCTAACGCGCAACTCCTTTGTCTTTGCCACATCAGCAGGTGGGTGGGATCGGGCAGATCACGACACCCGGGCATCTCACTAAGTAGGCGAGTCACCCTGGGGGCGACCTGTGCCCGCACAAAAATTCTTCTCACATTAGCAGTGAGGACCCGGGCGTCACCCCGGATCGTTATTTTCCTTACTCATAAGTTTAAGGCATACTGAGAAACTGCAGCGGCCGGACAGGGGGGCCGAGACGGATGCTACAAGAGTCAGGGTGAGCAAGGCGGCAGTTCCACCCCGGATCCAGGTCAAGCCTAGCCGCAGTCCCAGACCCTCCTGACGCTTCCACCCGTGTCTCTTTTCAGCGTGAGCGTTGTTTTCGGGGTAGAAATCGACCAGGGTAACCGTCGTCGCGTATGTAAATTAGAGTCTTCGGCCGCACGGGATCGTGGGAACCGCGCGCCTTTACTTCTCGTCCTCTTTGCGGCGCGCGCCCGGGAGGGGTCGCGCGACGCAGCGCCGTTGCCGCGCGGAGCTGGGCGGGGAAGCGGAAGCAGTTTAGTCTCATGTCCGGGCCTCGCTCGCTGCGTCTTGTCTCTGGGCCCCGCGACAAGATGGCGGACCTGTCCCTGGACGAGCTCATCCGGAAGCGCGGTGTGACTGTGAAGGGGAGGTGAGCGGCCGGGGGCCGGGACGCAGCGCGCCGGGGCGGGGAGTCACCGGCGGGACCCCGAGCCCCACTATCGCCCCGGCCCCGGGCCTGTTGCAATAGCGCCCGCCTCCTCCTCACACCCCCGACTTCCCATTGGCTGAGTCGCTGTCCTCTGGGACCCCTATCTAGATGCTAATTGGCTGGCCTTGTTGTCGGTCAGAGCCGGAGGGGGGGGATGGAGATTCGGGGCGGGGGGCACCTGGGGGGGGGGGGCCCTTTCCCCCCCCCCCCCCCCCCGGCCCCGCCCCCCCCCCCCCCCCCGAGTGCGGAACCGGCCTCTCCCGTCTGGGGCCGGCAGCCTGGCAGTGCCATGGGGGCCGCTGAGCCCCTAGCGCGGGGGGGGCGCTGTGCCCTCGGGCGATCGGCGGATCTGCCACGAGGCGCTTTGGGGTGCCCTGCCCTTTCCCAGTGCTCCCCTAAGCTCTCCAGCTTCCTGCCTCCGCCTGCGCAAGCCCCCTCCCTCCAGGGCAAAGGGCTTTGCTTGGGGCTGTTATCCCCCTGCTGCCTCCCGAGACTGCTGATCCGCTGCTTTCCTCTTCTCTCAGTCTCCCCTACTGCGGCTTTGTCTACACTGGAGAACTGAACCAGGCTAAGCATAAAGGGTTCAGTAAGTCTACACTAGCCGTGCTGAAAGGATTCAATAACTATTGCAGGTTTGCCCTGCAGCCACGCTAGCATACACTGCTTTATGTGTAGGACTTCACATTTTCTGTGTTCTTGGGTACCCTGCCTGCAGTTCCCGGCACAGCTCCCAGAAGCAGTGGGACATGGAAGGACTAGTTTAAACATTTGGGCTAGTCTGCACCCACACTGGCAGGAGTTCAGGCTGAAATGATAAAGACTAAACAGCAACAAAGAGTCCTGTGGCACCTTAAAGACTAACAGATGTATTGGAGCATGAGCTTTCGTGGGTGAATGCCCACTTCGTCAGACGCATGTTCCAATACATCTGTTAGTCTTTAAGGTGCCACAGGACTCTTTGGGTACGTCTACACTACGAGATTAATTTGAATTTAGATAATTCGAATTTGGGAAACAGATTGTATAAATTCGATTGTGCGCGGCCACACTAAGCACATTAATTCGGTTTTTAACCACATTAATTCGGTGGTGTGCGGCCACACTACCCCATTAATTTTAACCACAGTAATTCGGTGGTGTGCGGCCACACTACCCTTAATTCGAATTTACAAAATCGATTTTGGTGCTACTCCGCTCGTCGGGGTGGAGTACAGAAATCGATTTTAAGTGCCCTTTAATTCGAAGTAACTGGCTCCGTTGTGTGGACGGGTTAAGGATTAATTCGGATTAACGCAGCTAAATCCGAATTAAAGTCGTAGTGTAGACCAGGCCTTAGTTGCTTTTTACAGATCCAGACTAACACGGCTACCCCTCTGATACTCAGATTAACAGAAATTTAGATCTGAAAAATCATAGTCTCCTTCGTACCGTTGATATCACACCTGCAAAACTATTCAGCGTACTTGTGGATGTGAAGTGTGTTATAAGGTAGTTAAGAGGTGAGAATGATTCTTAGCACAGCAAGTATATATCTAATGTAGACAAGGCCTATGTGCCCTCTTGATTTTCCTGCCCAGCTACCTTCTCCTGTGGCAGCTTTTGGCCTTCCTTTTTGCCTCAGACACTTGATGCCCCTCAAGGCCCTGTCCATGCTTCTCTTCTCTCTCTGTGCTCTTCCTAGGCAATCCAATCTACTCCCATGGTTTTAGTTTGGGGAGAGGTTAGACTTGAACATGTGCTAAGGTGGATGAGTTAAAGTCTACACTGTTTTGTCTAGCATCATCTTCTAAAACAGGTTCGCTTACACATATTGACTAGTGCAGCATTTCTCAACCCATGGGTTGGGTTGCAAGAAATTGGGTTGTGAGAATGTTTCAAAGGGTCGCGTGCAGCTCCTGTCGCACAGGACTGGCTGGGCTCACCTCCCTGCACCAGGCACTACAACCTTTGGGGTCCCAGGGCCCAGCTGTCATGATGACGGGAGCCTCAACAGTCCAAATTTGAGTGAGCCACACTGTAACCCTATGAGCCAGGTCAGAACTCCACTCACAAATTTGGTCCAGTCCCGGGGGCAAGACCAAACCTGAGCAGCACTGTAACCCCAGAGGTTGCAATGCCTGGAGCGGAGAGCCAAACCCAGCCAGCCCCACAGCACAGGAGCTGCCACTGTGGGGTGAGTACTGGGCAGGACCCAATCCCCCCGGGCAGGATCTCACTGAAACCACCCCAGGACCTCCACCCCCAGACTATTTACTGGTTTGCGACAGGTCATAAACATTTACAAATGGATCCTGAGCCCCAAAAGATTGAGAACTACTTGGCTAGTACATTTTAACACACTTTTAAATCCTAGTCTAGTCAAGGCCTTGGCTTTGTCCCTTCATTCATGCTTTCCTGCATGCTTGGAACAGTCTTATGCCGTTTATTACACCAAGCAGTTCCTCTCTCTTTCAAAACCCTTCTTAACAGGAATCCTTACAACCTTCATTTGCTCAGCAGTAATCTGTCAACAGCATCCCTTACTTGAACATTTGTGCCTTGTCTATTTCTTGTTCATGGTGTCTGACGTAGCTTGTAAGCTCTCTGATCCAGCTAATATGCCTTACTTAGTATTTGGCAAGCAGAATAAATTTGTATTACTGTATAATGCTGTTTAATACAGGCTTGCAAGATTGTCATGAAAATTCAAAAGTCTAGGCATAAAATCTGCTTGTCCACTCAAACATTATCAAGGTGATAACTCTTATGTTATTTGTCACAATCAAGCTGTTAAGTAGAATTTGTAATAACAGGAACAGAGTTATATGGAGTGATGTGGTTACTGGTTTCTCCTGTATTAGGGCATCATTCAGTTACTGCAGGAGTGATTCTCTATAGAAAAGTGACAGTCATCATACCACTTACTTTTTTTTTTTTTTAACCCTTGCTCTCTTGAAAACACTGATTTAACTTAATCCTCAATACAGAGAATCCTGACTGATTTCAACAGCGTTAAGTAGATAGCAGTCTGTATAATTCTGCTCAGATGCTAATACTGGAATTGGGTGAATTGAAGTGAGAATGGCGTAAACTACTCACACATCCTAACATCTGAGGGTCATGCACTTCAAGAAAACATAACTTGTGTCTGTCTGACAGGAATTCTTGAAAAGATGTCAATACAGGTTAATTTTGTTTTTCTACCAGGCATATTATGTTACAAAGAACATGTTGAAGGACAAGCTGAATCCAAAAGGATGGAAAGCTGTTTCTGTCCTTTGATCCTTGCATGGTTCCCCCAAAATAAATAACCCTTGAAGTCATAAGGGCTTTGATGGGAGCTGCTGTATGTTCAGCATTTATACCTGCTTAAGTATGGACTTAGGAACCCATTTTTAAAAATCTTGTTGTTTTGCCTTTTGCATATCTCATATATATATATAGATATAGATATAGATATAGATATAGATATAGATATAGATATACACACTGTCGGAGAAAAACTGAGTTCTCACTTTTTGTTTGGGTACAGCAAGTCAGATGCTTTATTAACTCTCACAATTGTGCAGAGGGAGAGAGCTAAGCAGGTCTCCTCCTGGTAACTAATTACAGCAAGCATTTATACCTTTCATTACAGAAATAATGAGGGACAGCTGCATTTTGTTATACATAGGCCATCTTGATATCTTAATTCCTTACTTGTTTTGACTCTTGCCAACATACAATATTTTCTACACCTTATCTATACAAGGTCACAATAACTTCTCACACAGTTCTTTCTCACCTGCCTCACACAATCCTCGCTTCTACAAATCTCGCGTTATCAGGGTTACAGTTAGCCTGACTCTTGCTAACTAACTGTCATGCATTGCAGTTCCTTTCTGTCAGTTCTTTCTCTGCTTCCACAATATATATATATATTTATCTATCGAGAGAGAGAGTTTATAAATCAGTTTATAAAACACCTAGGAACTTAGATTAAATAAACTATTGGAATATCACTCTGCTGCTGTTCTGAATATGCATGTGCATACGTGGGGTTGTGTTTGGGAATACAGGGTTTTGTTTGCACCAGCAGAAATGCTTCCATTAATGTTACAACCCACTTTATCAGCCCGAAATTTCTTTTTCCAGACTGAACAGCAGGCCAGTATTTGGAGGCATTCGATCTCGAATTGGGATTCAGCAAACTCTTCTAAGTAGACCGACGCCAACCATCAGCTTCCAACGGACGTTTGATGCCCGGCAAAAGATTGGCCTCACTGATGCCCGACACAAACTGGGAGTTAAAGATGCTCGGGAGAAACTGCTTCAGAAAGATGCTCGGTTCAAAATCAAAGGGAAAGTGCAGGATGCCCGGGAAATGCTGAATTCCCGCAAGCAGCAGAGTGTGCCTGCTGAGAAGGTGACCAAAGTGATAGATGCCAGAGAGAAGATCAGCTTGAAAAGGAGCGCTCCTACTGCTGCAATTGTAAGTCCAGCCGTGGGGACAGTGACCCCAGCCATGAAGATCACCAAAACAATTCAGGTAGGTAGTCACTGCTATCCTATCACTCAATCCCCACCATCTGTGCTATGACAGGCCAGTTACAATGATAACGGTTGGATAGATGAATCCAAATGATTACAGAGGAGGAATGCGGGAACCATAGTGATGAATTTTAACCCAGACACTGAAATAGGCATGCCTGGTTTTATGGTGTCTATGGATTTTTGGTATTCAGAGTGTTTTCTGCAAAATCTGAGCTTTCATGTAAGCAAAAGTTATTCTGGTCCTTCTAGTTGCCAATAAAACCTTCTACATGTGACCAAGGCAGCGTTCTGAGTCTTCAGACAGACTGAAGTAGTAGCACTGAGAGGTCTGAAGCACCCCCATCTTGCCCAGAAAAAATCTGAGGAAAATATAGGTATCGTCATTAACTCCTACACTGCTGATCATCATAGCAAAACACCCATCGGGACAGCGTGGTTGGATATTCTGTTAATTGGCTAGGACTCTCCGCAAGAATAAGATTACAAGTTAGAATATGCAGTTATTTGCATTTATAACAGATATCTACATTTTTTGTCTTCATTTCCCCCATCTACTCTTCTATTCCACCCCTTTTCCAGCACAAGCTGATGATGACCTGTTTTAGCAGGAAACTTCTCGTTTTCAGGAAGTGGCCTAGTTACTTGACAAATTATAAAACTGAGATTTTGTCCCAGTTTCAATATAACCAACTGATTGGCCTGCCATCTTTCCTCTGCTCACTGAACTCTGACTTTACCCCCTTGCCATGGGTACAACCGTTCCCATCCACCCTCAGGCAGAGGTGGATTAAGATTTATTGGGGCCCTGGGCACAAAGAACATTTGGGCCCCCCATGCTCCTCCCTGCTAAGGGGCCCTGCCTCATGCTCCTCCCTGTCCCCTCCAAGGCCCTGTGGCCTGGCTGGAAGCTGTAGGGAGTCCTGACCCCCCTGCCCAAGGTAAATGAAGAGTCCAGGACTCCCCAAAGCTGCCCAGGCTCCCTGGGTGGCTCTTCGTACAGCCTAGGGTGACCATACATCCCAATTTGGCTGGGACAATCCCGTCTTTAAGACCTGCCACAGATGTCCTGAGTTTTTTTGGCAAAACTGGGCATTTGTCCCATTTTTTTCTTGCCAACCGATCATCAGTTGTCAAGAGTAAACGGGATAAATAGCCAGTTTTGCCAAAAAGGGAGTGTGTGTGTGTGGGGGGGAGGAATGGCGGTGCTTGGGGGTGAGCAGCAGGGCCCGGGCCAGCCCCGCACAGGGAGGCAGAGGGGAATATGCTCACTGGGCTCTGGCTGCCAGCCTGGCCAGCGGGCGGGGCCTCGGGAAAGAGGAGGAGCAGGGTGGCAGGACCCTGGAGGGAGAGGAGAAGCAGGGGGCAGGGCCAGAGTTGCAGTGCTCCTGCGGGAGCCCTCACATTGGCCGGGGCTCCTGGGCACAGGCTCTGTGGGCCTGTGTGGTAATCCACCACTGCCCTCAGGTAACTTGAATCTCAGCTAACCCTGCTGGACCCTAGTGCCACTTATCACCTGCCAGGCTCCGCAATGAACTACACATGCACTTAGTGCAGTAAGTAGACCCCGATGTCACTGTAAAGGAAGAGAGGATGCTGGACAGCTAAAAGGAAAGGAGCTGGGGGAGAGCAGCAAACCACCGCACATGATAACAGGCACTTACAACCTGATCCTGACCCCTTCTGTCTGCTAAACTGTCCTCCTCCTTAGGACGAGTACCAAAGCTACCAAAACCTTTTGCCAAATCTCTTACCTGACCACTCTTCTCAGCTGCTTCCCATGTCTGCTAGGAAAAGCCATTTCCCCCTTGAATTTGGAGGACTGAATAAGACTCTCTTTGGAGCCCATTGATCTAGCTCTTTCCTCATCTACAGGTTTTGCTTCAGAGCATCCTAACATGCTCCTTCCTCAGAAAGACCAGAGAAATTGCATATTACCTCTGTAGAGTTCCCAGTCCTTGCCAGCCTGGGGAGTGAGAGACTGGACCAAAGGATAGAGGCTGGCTGTCTCACATGGTAGTGTGATGCATTAATCACAGTACAGTAAAGCTTCCCATAGTCTTTGATTATTCAAATAGTTGACACTTACAGCAATCCTTGACAGTTAAGGTAAAGGGTTGTGTACAGAGCTCTCAGCTGTGAGGCGTTAGACTCTTGCAGTGCACACTATAAGATTTAAGTGGCTTCTGAAAACTTGATCTACTTTAATGACCTTACTGATATTTATGACTGACTCCTCTTGCCCTACAGAGCTGACTAAGGAGTAGTGCAGGGCTTCTCAAACTTCATTGCACCGCGACCCCCTTATGACAACAAAATTACTACATGACCTCAGGGGTGGAGCCCGAGCCCCGCTGCCCCTTGTGTGGGGGAGCTCAGACTTCAGCTTCAGCCGTGGGTCCCAGCAAGTCTAATGTTGGCCCTGGTGACCCCACTAAAATGGGATTGCAACCCACTTCGGGGTCCCAACCCACAGTTTGAGAACTGCTGGAATTGTGCATAGTAGAGTTAAAAACTGAACATGAAATCACATAACTAAAACCACAGAGGAAATCCTACACGTGGTCTAAGATTCTTCACAAGTTTTGCCAAAATTCCCAGCTGTTTGCAAATGTCCCTGCTCACAACCCACAAACTAAACTCTCCTGGTCCCATCAGGCAGACAGCCATGTTGCCTTGGGATGCAAGCTTGTCAGACCTCCGAAATGAATGGAAGATTGAGCTTGATCATTACCTGAATGAGAGGCCTCTAAGGAAACCTCAGGGTGCTGCAGGAAGTGGTGTTGGTGGTTTAGTAGGGAAGACATTCTCTCTGAATCTGAATCAGTGTCAGAGTATAGAGCTAGAGGGAGCTGTGCTGCGGGAGATGCTGCCTTCTAGAAATGCAAAACAGGCTCTGACTGGTTGTGATTATTAAAAGTTCCCATGCTACTTTTGCAAAGGGAGTATTAGCTCCATTGTCCTGGACAAGTTACATACTGCTCTCAAAGATACCCAATATTCCAGAAAAGGAACCTTCAGTTATGGAATGGTGAAGTTGTAGACCCTGGGTTTATTCCAGTCGCGCAGGGTAACTGGTCAGACTGCTGAAAGGACCGGCTGTACCATCTTGTGCAGCATTAGATTCAAGCAAAACTTCATACTAGAACAGGGCTAAGTTCATGCTTGATATAGAACAGAACTTTTGAATTACTTTGATCCTTAGGGTGTAGGCTTCTGGGCAGTACCATAAAATGCGGTTATATGCACTGTTGCTCCCCACAGCACCAAAGAAGGGCAGTCTGCAGATCCTGTCACTTAGCTGTATTTAATATTTGTATATGCACAAGTCTGATCTTAGCCTTGTAGGTTTTAAATTCATCTCCCACTAATCTTGAGCCAAAGCTCACATAATTGGCAGTTATAAATCCTCTACCTAGGACTTAGCTCTTAATTCCTTTGTTGTTTTGGGCTGGTGTATCATGCTGAACACTTACTACAGAAAAAAAAAAATGATTCTGCATTATTCTGTCTCTTCCGTGCCTTCTAACTGAGGCTTTGTCTCGATGTCCTACCATGTCGTGCCATGGTGTATATGAGAGCAGGGGTGAGAGTCTTGTTTAAGTCTTCTTGGAATGAACAAATGGCTGCCCTGTTTTGAGATTGGCAATGGCAGATTCTGGTGTTAATACTTTGGCTGTTTCTTTCCTCTGATATCACAGCAGAAGGCTGCAGCCCCAGGACACTCTCATCCTGCAGGAATGAGGATCAATGTAGTGAACAACCACACACAGAGACAGGTGAGTTCCATTCACTGGCAGTATTGGTACTATCCACTTGTTATTATGTGTTTTCCCCGAGGATTAGTAAATGTGACGGGGCATCTTTCATTTTCCTCTGGGTTCCAGTACCTTGGAAAAGGAGGAATTTGAAAGTTCTTTCACAGCTTGACTCTTGTGTGTTCTTGTAAAGAAGGTAGGAGGAGGAGAGGTCAAATAAAAGGGGCCTTTTATATTGTAGCTATCGTACATGACAGTTCTGAGAACACAGGGTGGTATTTCCTACCTTTGCCTTTCTGAATTTTAAAGTTTCTTTGCAGAATCCTCTCCTGTCTCCCTTTCCTCCAGACTCTTGTGATAAAATTATTGGTAATATTGCACCAGATCATGCAGTTGGTCCATCTTGTCCAACATCCAGCCTGCTAGGCTGGATCGGATTGTGATTTGTTCATAAATGACCGGGTGCGTTATGTGGGGGGTTCACCTTTCTCAGAAATTCTGAATACTAGTCCCTGAGGAGGCAGGATGCTGGATCAGGTTGACCAGTGTTGTGATTTAGCCTGGTAGTTCCTGTGTTCGTTAACTGAGCACACCTCCTCTGGAAGTCTGAGGGAGACATCTGGCACTCTGTACTGTCACTTTCTTTACCATATTTGCATTTGAAAGCTTTAGCGCCAGCCAGACTTGTAACAGTCTCATCACCTTTGATGCTTTTCTCTCTCTTCTTCTGTAACCAGGCTCTTGTTTCTTTTGCGGTTTTCCTCTACAATATCTCTCAAATCTATTTTTTCCTCTTCATATTAATGGTAAAACCTTTTTCACGTCTTGGTCATCTCTTGCTTTGATTAGTGTAATTACCTTCTCTCTGGCCTTCTTTGGTCTTACTTCTTAATTTACGCCCAGAATGCCATTGCTTAGAACAATTCTTTCTTCCTTTCTTCTGGCAATGTTGCTGCATTCCACCAACTTTCTTTTTCCATCCACGTCAGATACAAGCCCCTTGTCCTCATCCTCAGTGTTCCTCACAACTCCATCCCCAGCAACACTTCTGCTCTCATTTCATCCAACCATCCCTCTTCTTACAGTCCTGCTGCATCTCTTGCCTTCATGCTTTCTTCATTACTGCAACTTATGCTTGGAACAGACTCCTATTTCCTGCTTTAGGCTGATAGCTGGCAGGATGCTAAGGAACAGCAGGCACTAAATCTTCACTGTATTAATGTTGTCCATGAGTCCACATAATGTCTAGGGATTCAGAAATCTGTATGTAGCTGCAGTATTTCTGGAGAACTCTCTTTGCTGTGGCATCCCTGAGGAAGAGGTCACAGTGCGAGGGCATTCTTGTGTTCACTTGCTTTTTGAATCAGATTTATCCAACCTCAGCTCTTTATCACTGAGTTGTGAGGGCAGGACAAAGGCACAGAGAGGGGTTGTTGCTACCATCTCTCTGACAGTGAGCAGGTCTGTTCCTCAGAAGACTGGAGATGGGGAGAGGAAGGTGATGGGCAAGGTGCCATCTAAAGTAAAACCACGCCCTTGTGAGACTGTTGTTTGCTTGCTGTTTGTCTTTAGGGCCTCTATGACATGGAAGATGATGATGAAAGCGTATCTCCCCTTCCTAGCAAACAGATGAAAATCACCACCACAAACAGCTTCCTGCACAACGCGGTAAGGGAGTGCCTCAACAGTCCCCACCACACCATGCTCACCTTGGGTGGACACGCAGGCTGCAGCTTTACAGGGCTTATGTTCTTTTAAAGTATGTAAAAGATCCCCTTGGAATGTGTTTGCCCTCAGCCCCTCCCTTCCCTTTATGCCTGTGCTTCCAGCTTTACCTTGCAGGTCAAAGGAGTCCCCTTTGGGCTCTGTACAGTGTTACAAGCCTTTTGCAGCCAGAATGACTGCTTACCGTCACTGGTAGGAGAGTCCTGCATGTTGGCTTTTGGCTGTCTTCCCCTTGTGGGGAATAGTTCCTTGAACCTGGCTCATCATTGCCTGAGCATGCGAGTAGTGGAAACTTTCTGGTCCCACTGATCCAAGACTGGACAACTAGAGAGAGAGATCCTCTTGCATTGCAAAATTGCAGCTGGCTGCCTATCAGCAGGCACCAACCATCTGGGGGAGGGTGGAAAAGCAGGCAAATAGATGTGGCTGTCCTGGCGCGCACAATCTGGTTTGGTCCATCTAAGTCAGTGCTGAATCAATGCCACTTAACTCCTGGAGTTGCCAGCATCTGACTAAGATTTAAAACTGAGCTCCTGACCACTTGAGGTCATTAAAAATTCCTGGATGTTTTTTTTGCAAGAGTAGAGATGTTAGTTCCAATTATATTCTGCTGATCTAAAACTCCCCAAGCAGCCTGCAACTGGAGATGTTATTCTTCACATCTCTTCCTGTGATACTAGGTTAGTGTTTCTGGAGAAGAAAGGCCACTGCATTCTAGCCCATAGATAGTTGAATCTTAATGGATGAGTGATCTCTGCAGGCAGTTTGAAAAGTGCTTTGGGATCTTCAGGATGAATGATGTAAAATGAAAATCCTTCTTAACTGAGCTTTACTACTGCAATGTGAAAACAAGTACCTTTTAACAGTGCTTGTCTGCAAGGAGCGGTGACGACTGTCTTTTAGGCTAAATGCATCCCTAAGTGCTTTAGCTTATTTTCCCCAGCCAGGGATGGAGCTGCCGAGAGTCTCCAGTAGCACATAAAGTCATCGGACTGGGAGAGTGTGACAGCACCTCAGTGTGTGTTGGTAACTCTCCCTGGCTATTGCTGCTTGAAAAGGGGTTTCTGATTGAGAAGGTTACATCTTTCAAGGATACTGTTATTCACCCTTTGTTTAGGCTGGACTGAGTGGCAATAAGTTCTCTCTTTCCAAGACGGTCCCCCTCACCAAAGTGGTCCAGAATGACACCTATACAGCCCCCCCAGCACCTCTCTCACCCATTCGGACAAAGGCCCTGACAAACATGTCCCGGACCTTGGTGACCAAGGAGGAACCACCAAAAGAACCAGCACCTGTTGAGGTGAGTACAAGATAAGGGGTCTGCCTTCTATTGGAGACCCTCCACACCTCTAAAATCTGTCTAGATGGGCTGGATGGAGAGCTCGCCTCGACATCTCCCTCCCACACCCTCAGCATGGGATTTGTTACTTAGAGGGTCAAGCCAATCTAGGTGATTAGAACCCACTTCCAGGCATTTTAAAGCCGAATCTGTCTATGAATCCTCATTGATTGCTAAACAGTAAGAAGAGGGAACGTGTGGGCTTCCCATCTTGATGCTTTTGTTGAATTTTCTGTCCCTCAGAAGTCCTGACAAAATCCATGTTACTAGGATAAAAGATAAGAAATGGGTGGTGACTTCAGGGACCAGTGGGATTTAACTGACTGTTTACATGTGCAGGGCTAAACTAATTGTCACACTTGGGGTTGAGATGGAAAAATTACTTCAGAGACCTATCAGCAGGAAAGATGGGCTTTATCTGTAAAGATCAGTTGGGCTGGGTTTGAGGGAGCTTAGTACCGTCTTAGTTTCTCAACATTGTTTTTCCCTCTCCCGTCTCCCATCTCCCATTTGCCTTCCCTAGGGCCCTATTTGCTTCAGTTTATTCATGCTTTCTCTGCCGTGATGTCTTCTCTGATGTCTTTTACTCTGTCCTTCTGCATATGATATGCTCTTCTTTGTGTTGGCAGCCGGTGTTCAGCCCTTTGGAAGGTACAAAGATGACTGTGAACAATCTGCACCCCAGAGTCACAGAGGAAGACATTGTTGTAAGTGCCATTTATTGCTGGGCTCTGTGTGGCTAGAATTTCCCCCATGCCCCTCTCCATAGATTTGATTGCACTAGCCACATTTTGTGTTGGTGCAGGGGTTGGCATTTGTTTTTGTTTTTTGGAAGAGTTCTGAGCGTTCCCTACCTTCCACTTCTTGACCTTTATGCTGAAGAAAAATCCCTTTTAGGGTGCATTGAGACCATCTCTAGTTGGCTGGAGGAGTTGATATCAAGGGATACATGGCATTGTTCTCACCCTTCTACTGCCCACCCTCCACACCCAAAACCTCCACAGCACTTGCACATAGTAAGCCTCCCTTGTGCTCCCAGCCCCTGAGCACTAAACATAGGCCCCCGGCCGATTAGAATTTTAATTCATGTTCCTTTCAGAAATGAAAAACATGGAAATCCTTTTAATCCCACTTTGGAAAAACCTTCCTCTCTCTTTCAGTTAGACAGAGGGGGGTTACTGGGTTTAACTCCAGTTATTTCCTATGCTATGAATTCTTTCAGTTATTTCCTATGGTATGACTAAAGTAACCTTGAACGCTTCATCCTGCAGTAGTGTTAGTAATCAATCTATCAGACACCAAGTACTTACACCAATGGTGGGCAACCTGCAGCCCATTAGGGTAATCTGATTACGGGCCCCGAGACATTTTGCTGACATTGACCGTCCACAGACACGGCCCCCCGCAGCTCCCAGTGGTCGCTTTTGCCATCCCCGGCCAATGGGAGCTGCGGGGGGCGGCAGCCAGCACATCCCGGCGGTCTGCTGCTTCCTGCAGCTCCCATTGGCCAGGAACGACAAACTGCAGCCACTGGGAGCTTCAGGGGGCCGTGCCTGTGGACGGTCAACATCAGCAAAATGTCTCGCGGCCCACAATCAGATTACCCTGATGGGTCGCAGGTTGCCCACCACTGACTTATATCATAGTAGGTATCTCTAGACTGCTAGCTGTTTCACTCCCAGAGTCTTGAACTACTCAACTGTGGATGTGGGGGCCCTCTTTCTGAGCCTGGCCCACCATGGTAAGACCGTCAGATCAAAGCAGTAACTCTAATGTGGCACTGACAGCAACCACAGCCATGACCTGCTGTCTGTCCTCAGGAGCTGTTCTGTGTGTGTGGCGCTTTAAAGCGGGCCCGTCTCGTGCACCCTGGAGTGGCTGAAGTGGTCTTTGTGAAGAAGGAAGATGCCATCACAGCATATAAAAAATACAACAACAGATGCTTAGATGGTAAGTTTGAGGCTGGAGTTGAAGGTGGGGTGCATGAATCAAAGGCTTTCCAGCTCGGTGCAGATTTCAGACGGTAATTCAGAGTCTTCTTGTGCTGCTCAAGGAGAGTGTGTGTGTCAGGGAATGCTACTGAGAGCTGGACAAAGGGGGTTGGGGTTCAATGCTACAGGTGTTATGTAGGTAGTTGAGTATCTCCACTGTCCATCAGCGTTGTTTTCAAAATCTATTTCCCTAGGGGAGAGGTCTAGCTCAAAGGTTGCATCTGGCTTCCGCTGAAGTTAAAACCACAAAATTCTCCCCACCAGATAAAACTATTGGTGCATCTAATCCAGTATCCTGTCTCTGACCCCAGCCAATGCTGGACACTTCACAGGAAGGCATAGTGTCCCTGCTTGTGCAGTGTAACGAACCCCTGTTTTTTGCAAAGGCCTCAAGGCACATCCAAAGTATTTCTGAAATCAGGGGTTTGCAAAAATGAATATCAGTCTCTGTACAGATTTTGAATAGTACAGTGATTCAGCTAAATCAATTTACTGATGTATTATTGTAGATGGAAATTCGTTGCTGATTCTAGATGGTTATTCACTTGCTCTTTGCCCTTGAGCTTGAGGATTGATGGCTCTTGTAACTTTATCCTAGCGAGCAAAGTCACTTAAGGTGCAAGCAGCTCAGAACCGGAGATTCTCCTGCATCTTTGCTAAACCATTGCAGCCTACTCTGTAATTGCTCGGCCAGCTGTTATGCCGGTGCTAGAGTGTTGTAATTGCATTAAGCTCTTACAGTAGCTCCGCTGCTGCTTGCAAGTGCTCTGACTTTGCCATGACTCGAGTGAAGCTGCTGTCTCTAATGGCTCCCCACAATTCCCCAATGTGTGGGGCTGCGTCCGCTCACCTCTGTCTGCACGTCAGTGTAATACTTCTGGGGTCTTGCCTTGCTGGGGATATGAAATTTGGTTTTGGGTTTTTTTAGGGCAGCCAATGAAGTGCAACCTTCACATGAACGGGAATGTCATCACATCAGATCAGCCAATCTTGCTGTAAGTGCTCAGGGTGGAAGAGCCAAAAGAATTTGCAGGTTCTGTTTTGGGGAGGACTTTTTGAGGTGAGGTGCAGGAGGAAAATTTTTCCATGGTAAAATCTCAAGAAAATCCTCGGTAGCCCTTTCTCACCTACACCCCTTCAGCTGCACCTAGCGCTGGATTGCAGCCGCTGCCTTTCCACTCAAGGAAAACAAGATGGGACTTCTTCCACAGCCCATCAGTGCCAGCGTTCCCTTCGCATGCACCTGAGTTGAGTGTGCTGCAGTCTGTTTCCATAGCATCCCTAGTCCCTGCTGGCTCAGGAATGAGAGGCTGGGACCAGAACCCTTCCACGGCCGAAAGCATATCTTAAGCCACGCACCCAATGTCTTGGAGGGGGAACAGTAGCTTCTGAGGCTGCCCTAGACTTATTGTAATGTGAGGTTAACTATTATGTCTGTTTTTCATCATGCAGTCGATTAAGCGACACCCCCTCTGTGAAGAAGGAAGTAGAACCACGGCGGTCGAGTGCAGCTGCCTCCTCAAATCCGCCAGCTGAGGTGGACCCTGACACCATTTTGAAGGCGCTCTTCAAATCCTCGGCGGCCTCTGTCTCTGTGCAGCCCACAGAATTCAAAATCAAACTCTGAGAAGAGAAGAGTGGAGGCGAGCAGTGGACTGGAAAACTTGCTGAAGGCATGGAATGGGGAGAATCACGTGGGAGCGCAGGTGTTTCTGTGTTTGCCCACCTTGTGTTTTTTGTTTTCTATGATCGCTACCTTCCTGTACAGTAGTGTTCCCTCTCATGTGTGTATTTTCTGTTTTCATAGTTGGAGTTTTCTTCCACATTTTTCCAAGAGAATAACCTCCCCCTTCTGCCAGTGAGATATATTACCAAGCATAGACCCATGCAACTCCCTCTTTTGCTCCACACCCCCTTGTGGCCAGCTATTAAAAGTGCACCTAGAGACTTTGAGGGAAGGGGAATGATAAACAGAACCTCTTGTCCTACGGCTAACAACCTCTGACCGAAAGGTGAAGCCCCTCTGTTATTGTCGCTTGATACCAGATTTAATTTTTAAAGCTGCTGCATTTGGGGTGGAGCCAGGTGTGATGCTCAGAAGCAAGTAGCATTTTGACAGTTTTGTCTCAAACCTGGTAGGATACAACTTCTGCCTAGCTGTTAGAAGCTTTGCTGATCAGCAGCTGTGACGCTTGGAGGCACTGAGAAGAATCCAGCTCCCCTGTTTATCAGCTGATGGAAGAGTTTGGGCTGTGGGGAGAATATATGCACAAGTGCAGACATACCGCATCTAATTTGCTGTCACAGTTAAGCCTCTGCTATTGTCCTGGTGAAGTTCAACATTCAGTAACACACTGAGGGGGAGAAAATAGCTCAGGCTTCTGTGTAACGTGAATATATCCGCTCCTTAGGGTACCCCAGGGTGATCTGCCCTTTCCTTCCTCTTTCTGGACTAACTTCATGTGAGAGCAGGGACTTTGACCAGAAACACTAGAAATCGAGTGTTTCCCTTCCAATTAGGTTGAATCATATCATGTTCTCCCAACCCCTGCTGTCCATGTAGGGACATGAGCTTTTTTAGTGGGTGGGGTGGGGACTGGGAAGTCCTTCTAGCATCTCCAGTCCAATTTTATGGAGAGGAGTGGGTTGGGGAGTAAGTCATGTACTAATATGTAGGAAATAATCCTCTTGTCCACCTGCTGTGAAGGAGTATCAATTGTAAAAGGGCTCCACGTGAGCTATGCTTGGCTGCTATGCAGAACAGCTGCTCATGTACATGGGCTGGAAGGATGGTAGAGGCACTTCATGGCCTCAGAGGGATGGCTGTTGGGAAACCAGTGTAAGGGATACAGCAGAGAGGAGAGCATGGAAACCAAGCAAGCCCCAGGTAGAGCCACAAGAATGTACCTTCCAAGGAGGGACTGTTCGTCTGTGATGAGCCATTGGCCACTAGGTGGCACTTGCCGTGCTCCCATTGTTAGCATAGCATTAACCCAGTGAAAATTGGGAAATCCAGGTAGCTCTAACTCTATTAGTTTCAATTGTATTATGAGAAAAGAGGGAAGTGAAAACCACCCCAAAATTTGTCTGAAGTTTGAACTTGATCCTTCCAGCTATGAAACTAACCAATTCTAGTCAGCACTGCTGACATTCTTTAGTGAACTCTGTCCAGTACCATTGTAGATTCAGACTCCATTTCTTGGTGGACCCTATGTTTCTTTTGCACTCTTGTTTTGTGCAAACTCTTTGTTCTGTCCGGCGGCTACAAACCATTCCTCTCTCATGCCATATCACTCGTAGCCATGGAAAGAACTGAGAACTCAACAGAACTTGCTTTTCTGAGTACTCATTGTATCTGGAAAATAACTGCAGTTATCGGGGAGGCTTCTTGTGAACTGCAAGTGTGTGGGGGAAGGGTTTAAGACACCAATTGTTCCTCTTTTAGATCACCCATCAGACATCTGTGTTTTAATAAAAGGGGGTGGGAGAAGGGAGTGTTAGGGGTGGGAGAAGACTATGTATTATCTGTTTCAGAATAAATGTTTGTTATACAGAGATTGGATTCTAAACTTCTTAAGACACTGAGGAAATTGAGAGGCCAGGTCAGTTGAACTTTGAATCAAGCCTACTGCTTCAGTGGTAGAAAGAAGTTGGGAAGTCTCAAATCAGTAATGTTGGTTCAGTGAATGCCATACATAGTTAAGCACAAGGTGAGACAGTGGGAGGAGAGTGCAATCTTGGCTCAACTCAGGCAATTGGTACTAATATGACAAAGCCTTACAACTTTGGTGCTGAAGTTCAGCCCAGCTCACTATGTCATCAGAATTATTACCAGCTGATAGCTGGCTGCTGTCCTATGATGTGAAATGAGATTGGTTGGCTTGATCTAGTTTTTAGTAGCTAGGTATCCACACTAACAAAATGGACACTGTCAGTCCACATTATTGGCAGCTTGAAGGCAAAAGAATGAATGGAGCTTTGAGACTGAACAACCCTCAGGGTTGAAATATATTGGTGAGACGATGTGGAGAAACTTGCATTGCTGCTGTCTCCTCCGTACCTGTTCTGAGAGAGGCCTTCAGTTTACAGGTCTTTTAGGTATCTTTCAGGAGCACTAAGCTCACAACAAACATTTAATTAAAGAGTAGATCCTAACTATGCACTATCTGACCCTTTTGGCAATTCTCACTTCATGAAGGTCTACAACAGTTGTAACAGTGGAGGGGAAAATATGTTCCAGTGTTCATTTATACAATAATCTTTTTGGAGCAGGGACAGCACGGAGCCCAATGGGCCCTGAATCTGAGTAAGGTCTTTCAGTGCTACTGCAATATAAATAAGGCAACAAGAACCTGGGAACCTTACACAGTAGCACAACTCTCCTGCCTGCCTCGGAAAACTTTTGTCTGTCCTTTTCTCCCAGTAATAATATTTTTATCAGGACAGATGAAATGTCTATAAGGCCATTGACCTTCCAAGTGGTGGAGTGTGTGTGTTTGATGATAACCACAAGAATTCCTGTGCTGCATCCCTATTTTTAAACATCCATATGCTCTGTGGTGGTGTATTTACCCAGCCCATCATGGCCTCCTTAGGACAGGAGACTTGAGTTGTCTGCATTGCAAAGCCTCTTTACGTGGATGCTTACCTTCCTTTTCCCATTTGACAAGAAACATGGTGGTCTTCAGCCTGGAGCAACAAGCCCTAGAACAGCCACTGACCACTTAGCAAGCATGTAAACAGAACCTACATGGTGACAGGCTTTCAAGGTTTATCTTCCTGATAAAAATGCAGCCTCAAGGCTCCAAAAGGGTTTGTCACTACTATGAGTACTGCTCCATGGACACCAACCTGCAGTAACACTAATCCTTTTAGAGAACTGTTGCCCTGTTGATCCACAGTTAGTTCCAAAGGCAGAAAGGCATGGTGCATTCTGGTGTCTCTCTGTCTAAAAATGTTCTCCATAGTAGTTTATTATGCAGTTAACAAGGAGCTTTCTGGTTTTATACACTAAGCCTCGGCCACAGCTGGAGAAAGGATACAGGACTAGGTGGGTCACTAATCTCCATATTTTTGGCATAGGAAGTTCCTTTACTGTTAGGATGATGTGAATGTAGACACATGCATTAATGGTATTTGTTTAAGGAAGAGGTTTATTAAGAATGGTCACATTATTAACATTGTGATCATAGGTCAAACCTGGGATAATTTAACTGACATGGAGATTTATTTAGAAGGCCATGGCACACTTCTATTTCCCTACAGCCCAGAAGCTCAAGGCTGACCATTGAGAATGTTCGGATTATACATATACTGTAATGGAGAGCCTGGGTCAAAGGTGAGTTCTACTAACAAACCTTATTTGTAGAACTCTAAGATAATTAGTAAGTAACCAAAAAAAAAAAAAAAGTGCATTTATGTGTTACCTGTAAAGGCGTAGCAGTGGGGGATCTTGAACTTGGTCATTCCTGAGACTTTAAATCTAATGAAGGTCACCTTTCCCATGATGTCTACAAAGTGTTCAATCATTTATCCATATCCATTTTTATTCATAATTTAAATAAACCAAATCTTGCCATCCTTACTGGATCAGCCTATTCTGTTAATCTTGCTAATTTAGAGAATCTACCCAACTGCTTTAGACTTCCTATCACAGCTCATCCCTACCTCTCCAAAGAGCTCTCATATCTGCAGCGAGCAGAAGTTAAAATGGTTGAGAGAGAGCTTTAACTCGGTCAGTTGAAAAAAAATCTGTCTCTTAAAGAAAACAATTTCTTCCATGGGAGCTGGCATTCTCATGTTAAAGAGAGTGAGGGAATGGGGCAGAGCGTTAGAGTCAGCTGCTCATTTCATAGGATTCCATCTTTTTTATTGTCTTTAAGCATTCTGCCACCTTAGTGATTTTGTATTTTCCGATGACAGAGACTTAAAAGCAGTGGTTTGTGTGAAATGAGATGGTTGTTCAAGTCCAGTTTCCAGTGGCCCACCCATATCACAACTGTCAGCAAAGATCGGTAACAGAGATACAATTTCTCTCACCCCTAGGGTTGCACTGCACTTCACTGTGGGAATTGAGGCATGTGGACAGTAGTGGGGAAGACAGAGGAAGAGTGATTTGGAAAGAACTTGTTACGTGTGGCTGTGCTGCACCTGTTCTGGGGATAGAGAGGTGCTTTTAGACTCCAGGGCTTTACATTTACCTCCTTTCACCAATGAGAATTTTGTTTTTTAAATAAAACTAACATCTTAGAAACAGAAGGGAGGGAGCATGCTGTGCTGCCTACACCTAGACCTTTAGCGTCTTCTAGCAACTTTGGCCACAGTGCTTATCCTTCTGCCTTAATTTCCCCGTCTGTAAAGCAGTGATCATACTTGGCTAGGGCAGGATTGTTGTAGGTCTCAGCGGCGTTCTCCGAAGTAGCAAAATCCCCTGAAGAAATTGCCCCAGAATGGAAATTGCCCTAGGGAAAGGGCCATGCCAATGCAATCACTGGATCAGGGTGGCTGAGGCGATGTGGGGCAGGAGCCCGGGCGCAGTCAGAAGCGCTGTAGCCAGGCCTCTAGGAAGTAATTGGGGGGGGGGAGTGAGAGCCCTGTATTTACCCGAACCCCCCTGTGCACGCTCTGACTCCACCCAGTCCGGCGCTGGCAGGAGCCATCCCTGCGACAGCGCAGCGCCTGACGCCCCCGTGCCCCTAGCCGCGCCTGTGTTAGCAGCACCCTGGCTGCGCGCGCACCCAGCGGGGGGGGGGGCGGGAGCGCACGGACTAACTCGCTGCGCCCCGAACCTCGTCGTTCATCTGAAGCCCCGCCCCCTACCCAATCACTGCGTGACGCCAGCTCCCCCAGCGCGACGGGGACGCCGCAAACAGCGGCCCGCGAAGGAACTACAACTCCCGGCGTCCCCTGCGCGCCTCGGTGTCCCGGCTGCTGAGCTGACGTCACCGACCGGGAAATTAAGATGGCGGCCGGCAAGAGGAAGCATGTGACTACGGCGGAGGCCGGGGCACCGGCGGCCCCAGCGGGCTACACAGGTAACCAGCCGCGGCGGGGACGGGGCACGGGTTTAAAGGGGGGAACCGCTAGCCCGAAATCCCGGGCCCCCCCCCCCGCCCCCAGCGTATCCACAGGGGCTGATCGAGCCCGGCCCTCCCCGCACGCGCCCCGGTTCTTACACGCTCCCGTTGCCGCTGTCTGGGTCGGGCGCTGGTTGCTCCGCACGCTGCTGTCCTGCCCCGAGCCGAGCGCCTGCCCGCATCTCCTGTGTGGCAGGGCACCGATCCCGCGGCAGCCTCCCCGGCCTGTGCCGCAGCACGTCCAGTGCCATGAGCAGGGATCCCCGCTTTCCGTGATGACCCCCCCCCCCAAAAAAAAAATCTTGGATAAAAAAACATTAAAGTCCGTCAAAAAGAACAGGAGTACTTGTGGCACCTTAGAGGCTAACTAAATTTGTTAGTCTCTAAGGTGCCACTAGTACTCCTGTTCTTTTTGCGGATACAGACTAACAAGGCTGCTACTCTAAAGTCCGTCAAGTATCCCAGGGGTAGCTGTGTTAGTCTGGATCTGTAAAAAGCGACAGAGTCCCGTGGCACCTTATAGACTAACAGACGTATTGGAGTCATGCAAGCTTATGCTCCAATACCTCTGTTAGTCTATACGGAGCCACAGGACTCTTTGTCGCTTTTTACATAAAAGTCCATGTTTTTTTTCCCCCCATGATTAAAATGAAATGCTGAACTTAATTTTCCCTAGCCACATTATGTACAGGTATCAGTTGAACATAATGTTTTACTGATAGGCTTCAAGCTTGTTTAAAAATTGTAAATATATCAGTACCATCAGTTATTATAATAAAATGAATAGACTTGCTGGGTGCCAGGCCAGCAGCTGCTGCTCTCCACTCTGCCTTCCGAGCTGGGTGGCTGGAGAGTGGTGGCTGCTGGCCAAGCACCCAGCTCTGAAGGCAGTGCTGCCGCCAGCAGCTTTTCATGCTCTCCTCCCCTCCAGAATACATTCCTTTTACACACACACCCGCAGTTTGAGACCCTGTGGAATAAGTGATACTGGTACTTTCAGTAAAATTTAGTTAATATATGTTTTTATTTTTTCACAAAATGTAAAATTTAAAGAGTCTCTGTAAAAATGCAAATTCCGTCTTTTTCCATGGCAAATGGGTTTCTAGGCTCTCTGGTTGTGAGTAAAGCACTTTGCACCTTGACACACTTTCCTGAGTTGTCAGGACTGGTGGGTGTTGGGGGAGATCCAGAGATTTATTTATGGGAGATAGGTAGAACCTGATTAGGCAATGAAGTCAGCAACTGATGGTATTGCATCCTAAAATGTTTTCTGGAACTTGATGCTCTGCTGAAGTCAGTTGCTTTAAATTGCTACATCTCTTTAAAAATTGTCCCTTTTAGCCATTCCAGTTAAGCTTTCTGAGAAGCAACAGTCGCCTCACTACCTGTATGTGAAGGAGCACAAAGTCCGAGAAGGCACCGATACTACCCACCCTCCAAACCGTACTCTCTTTGTCCTTAATATCCCCCCGTATTGCACAAAGGTGAGTTGTTGGTAGGGTTGCCAACTTTGGTTGGACAAATTCCTGGAGATTTCATCACATGACATAATCTTTAATTCCTGGAAACTCCAGGAAAATCCTGGAGGATTGGCAACCCTAGTTGTTGGGCTGGAAGAAGTATTGAAAGAAATATGTGAATGTGGTCTTTTTACTGGGGGCTGGAGCATAACCAGAAGAGCAGAGAGTGATGCTGTAACAAGTACAGTAACTCCTCACTTAACATCGTGCTGATTAAAGTTGTTTCATTGTTACGTCGCTGATCAATTAGGGAACGTGCTCATTTAAAGTTGCGCAATGCTCCCTTATAACGTTTAGCAGCCACTTGCTTTGTCCACTGGTTGCAGGAAGAGCAGCCCGTTGGAACTAGCTGGTGGGGGCTTGGAACCAGGGTGGACCAGCAGCCCCCCATCAGCTCCCCGCTCCCCTAAGTTCCCTGTGCGGCAGCCACCCAGTAGGCTGTTGATTGCTGAGCACTTCAGCTGTCCCTCCCCCCACTGCCGTGTGCTGCTCCTGCCCTCTGCCTTGGAGCTGCTCCCGAGAGCCTCCTGCTTGCTGTGCTGGGCGGGGGGAAGAGGGGTGTTAATGTCAGGGTGTCCCCCTGCCCCCCGCTCCTGTACCCCATCTCCACAGAGTGGGGGGGACACACAACAGGGTTCGGGACGGAGGGAGCTTGCTGGCAGCAGCTGCTGTCTCAACTTGCTGATCTACTTAAAAAGGCAGCGTACTTAGAGTGGGGTCAGCATATTTAAAGGGGCAATGAACGTCTCTCTCTCTCACACACACACACACAGTGTGTGTCTCTGTCTTTCACACATATATGCACACATTCCCCCCCCCCCCCCCCCCCCCCCCCCCCCCTCGAAAAAGGAGGGGGGGGTGCACTCCAGTGGGATAGCGTGGGTTCAGTTTCCGCAGGGAATGTTTGCAGCCACTGCCATGTGTTTATTGTGTCTCCTCCCTCCGTTTGTGCTGCCTTGTAGAGTGTGAGGCTACATTAACAACATGTTAACCCTTGAGGGCTCAGCCCAATGCTAGTTTATCATTTAGCAGTAGGGCATTCCCTGGGAAATACCCCACCCTCTGACTTCACCTTACCCAAGTTTCACAATCATCATTGCTGTGTACGGTATTAAATTGTTTGTTTAATACTTATACTCTGTCTGTGTGTGTGTGTGTGTGTGTGTGTGTATTTATTTCCCTGGAATCTAAACCCCTCCCCCCTTACATTAATTCTTATGGGGAAATTGGATTCGCTTAACATCGTTTCGCTTAAAGTAGCATTTTTCAGGAACATAACTACAACGTTAAGTGAGGAGTTACTGTATGTTAGTACTTGTATGGGAGAGCTGCACGGACCAAACAGTGGTGCAGGGAGAGGGTGACGATGACTCAGCAAAGGCCGTGCTTCCCTCTGAGGTTTTATCTAGAATGAGGAAAAATGTGTTTTGTTTGTTAGCTAACCCCACTTGAAATGCCACTTGGGATCTAGCGTAGATGCAGTTTAATACCTTTAAACCCACGTTAGCTAGTCAAAGACAACCATAGTGTGGAGCCATAAGTTCACCTTGACTAGCTAACGAGTTTTGTAAAATCACCCTTTGTCCTCGTTACAAGTTACAGGGGGGATCACTGAAGCCCATGTCTTCCTTCTTGCCTGTAAGAAAGGTAAATTTGCCTGGTGCTCCTCCCATCTTGTGATATATCCAATAACCTTGGGGAGTTGCCACAGATTTGCAACCTCCTTAACCTCAAGGGAGCTGCAGTGCTTCTGGAGCTTATTGGTCCTACAAGGCAGAAGTCTAGGGACTCTGTTACACCAGTTCCACAAGGAAACTGGTGTAAGTTTGTTCAGTTAGCCCAGAGTTGTAGGATATCATTGCTTTTAAAGGTACAACTGATAGACCATCTCACTGACCAAAGGATTAGCGGGGCTTCATAGGAGCTGGGTTTGATCTTCATACCAGTCTCACTCCTAAAATGTGTTTGTGCTTCAAAAGTTTGTGCATGTTTT